TTCTTGTTTTTGTTTGCGTGTTTCGTTTCATGATGTCATCTCAGATTACACTATTTCAATCGCGCCACACTTTCTCCGCACAGAAGACACACAGGTTTTCCAGCTACGTCCATGAACATGTACTTCGACTCCCACCTTGTTTGAAACCCCCGGTTCTCAGTGTCCACCTTCCGTTTTGCCATTTTTGATGGGTATCTGAAAGCTAATGTCACTGTTATGGGAACGACTGCTAGACTAATAAATATTTAAATAAAGCGGCCGACTGCTTGGCGCGTCACCGTTGCATTGTGGGAAATGTAGTACTGGTGCGTGTAAAAGATCTGCGGGCTCTCGGCTTGCTGCGGTCCGCGGGCCGGTTCTAATAATAAATCAATATCATCCCAGGGGCCACAGAAAACATTCTCGCGGGCCGGATTTGGCCCGCGGGCCGGCACTTTGACATAGTGCTGTATGGCATACCATGTATTAAGGATGAAGTGAAGAGGGATAGTTTGGTTAAGCATGTACCAAGTACGCAGTGCTGACAAACTCCAAGTAAGATAGTGCTTATATTTTTTTCCCCATTAAAATTGTCATGAGAATATGTTGAAGCCACAATGACACACATCCAGGCATGTTAGTAGTAATGGAATAAAAGGTAAATGTGTTAGCCCTGTTATCGTCAGACGACATGACTGAAGGCCAATTTTGAGCCGACAGGCGTGTTGCAGATAAAGGTAGTGTCTCGTTGTAGATTATGAGTTGTTTTGACACATGGGTCGTGTAGTGTAACATACTCGACGACTGCTCACCCGGCGTCTCGGACACTTCACAACGAAAAAAGTCTGGCATGTCAGAATTTTTGTTCGTCTTGCTACAAAGTGTGACCTGTCCTACCTCATCCTTCGATCGGTTCTTTGGTGCCCTCTTACTTATGATGAGACACTGGACATGACATACATAATGACAATGTGATGTATATTATTTAAAAAGTGACATGAACAAAAGGCAAAATATTGGAAAGTATACATAGCATTTCAACTCGTGCTCCATTTGCTGACTGCAAAACTAGTAGCTGAGTAGCAAACATGGTGTCAATAAAGCAATCCGTTCTTTTTGAAAAAGATACATTCTATACCGCCTTCTCCCACCATCCAGGTAAAGGTCCATAATCACTTCTTTTTGTTTTTCGTTTTTTGAGCAAAAAACAAACACATGCACATAATGCCTCCGTCGACTTGACTTTGACAGCTGCTTATCATGTCTCCCCGACGTACCTGCTTCGATGGACTGAATCTTGACGGAAGCAACGATTGGTCAGGGTCTGGTCAGTGATGGACTTGTTGTGTGCCGTTTTACCCTGTTCAGAGACACATAAGGATATTTATCTGGTAGTCTCACAAAATGAATGACAAAAAAGTCATGTAGTTGGAGAAGGCCTTTAGTCAATGCAAGATCAATGCGTTTTTTTAAAAAATTGTCAGAGTCTCTGATATTGGAATGTTTGCTTGTGTTCCAGGAGTGGACCGTTTCAGTGATGATATTGAGGAGATGATTGGTCAGAGGCCAGGCAGATACTGGAGGTTGTGCTGGAAATTTGTCAGCCCCTGCTTTCTCCTGGTGCGTATCCCTCATACCGTTTGAGGCTACCATTAAATTTATTGTTCCAGTTATTATTTTTTTTCACAGGAGTCATTTTACCATAGTAAAAACAGTAAATGTGAGACATACAATTTGCAGGATTACACCCCCCAACCCACCCAAGACCTCACAGTGAAGAGGTACCGGGTTCAATTCCAGCTCTGGCCTCCCTGTCTGGAGTTTGCATGTTCTCCCTGGGCCTGCGTGGGTTTTCTCTGGGTACTCCGGTTTCCTCCCACATTCCAAAAACATGCATGGCAGGCTGATTGATCACTCAATATTGTCCCAAGGTGTGAGTGTGTCTGTGGATGTTTGTCGGTCTCTGTGTGCCCTGCGATGGGCTGGCAACTGGCTTCAGGGTGTCCCCACCTACTGCCCGAAGACAGCTGGGATAGGCTCCAGCACCCCGTGATCCTTGTGAGAATAAAGCAGTTCAGAAAATGGATGGAGGGGGATGTGTGTGTGTGTGTGTGTGTGTGTGTGTGCGTGTGTGTGTATACACACACACACACACACACACACACACACACACACACTCCCACACATACATCCACTCATGTTTCTTTTCTTTGGAATGTGGGAGGAAACTGGAGTACCCAGAGAAAACCCACGCAGGCCTGGGGAGAACATGCAAACTCCACACAGGAAGGCCAGAGCCTGGATCGAACCCACGACGTCTGCACTGTGAGGTCGACCCACTAACCACTGGCCTCTATCTATCTATCTATCTATCTATCTATCTATCCATACATATACAGACATACACACACACACACACACACACTGAAGGAATTCCCAGGCTAAGAGGTGCATAGGTTGCAGAACAAAATTTGGTGCATAGTTTTTGTTACTCTGAGACTTAAGTCATAGTTCTGGCAGTCGTTGTCATCCTCTGTAAACCACAAAGTAATTAGCAGACTACCAAACAGATTAAAATAACAACAGGCAAACAGCTAAAGGGCAACTCCAAACAAATAGTTTTGTTCACGTGTGCAGAAAGACCAAACTTTGTTCTTCTGAGTGCCATTTTACAGAAATAGCATTGGGACATAAGCAACAATGATGGTGCAAAAAATTTCCGCAATGCAGTACTGTTTATCTTACTGCTTGTGACTTAATTTTTCGAAATACTGTACATTTGAACATGTTTTTTTCCTGTTCTCACAAATTAAAAATAATATTCAAAAATAAATAATTAACCCCCCTAACCCCCCTCCCCCCCCAAAAAAACATTCAAAACTTGAAAAGTTAAGACTATATAGTATGAAAATAAAAATGCATCCATTGTCTAGAGCGCATGTCTTCATCTGGATCGCGGGTGACCTGGAGCCTATCCTGTGCTTACTCTGGGTAACAGGCGTGGTACACCCAAGATTGATTGCCTGCCAAGTTCAGTGCACATACTGTATAGACAGACAAACATTCACACTCCCATTCACATCTATGCACAATTTTGAGCAGAGGTCACCGATCTTTTGGAAACCGAGCACTACTTCTTTGGTAATCATGAATGTGAAGGTGACCCCTGATTTAACATATTCAATTAACATTGCATGCATGTTTTTAGGGATGTGATTTTATCTGATTATTGATTACCGGTAACTGCTTTCTCTCCCTCCGGCAAATTCTCCTAGTTTATGGTGGTAGTGAGCTTTGCAACCTTCAACCCCCCAAACTATGGCACCTATATGTTTCCTCCCTGGGCTAACGGGCTGGGATGGTGCCTAGCCATTTCATCGATGACCATGGTACCCCTTTACGCCATCTATAAACTTTGTAGCCTACCTGGAAAGTTTTGTGATGTAAGTCCGAGCCGATTTGCATCTTTGTAAAGTGTTTGTAGTTTTTGTGGAGTATTCTTTGCTTTATTTTCTCCATAATATTGTCCGCCTTTCTACTGGAACAGAGACTGGCTTATGCCATCACCCCAGAGACAGAACATCATTTGATAGATAATGGGGAAGTTCGTCAATTCACAGTAAGTATTGATTTGCTCATGTAACATTCTTCTTCTCAAACGTGTGTATTACAATTGACTAATTGGCCTGTTGACTATTGCTGGTTTGTTTAATTCACTGATTTTTTTTCCCCCATCATAGCTTCAGCACTGGCTGGTTGTCTGAATGTCAAAATGAAAATGGATATGAAGGAATGTTGGACGAATGCATGCACAGCATAGTTCTGAAATGTGATGAAGAAGTGAGAGGAGGTAAGGCTCGAAAGCAGGAGAAATTTAGGAGTGCCAGTAAAAAAAAAAATCATGTAAGAAATTGTAAGTGTGATTTTCATTCCAACTGTGCATGTGTGAAGCTGTGTGTAAACCCATTTTGGTTTGACATCAGTGAACTGGAAACTGGTACTGTGGTGTAGAACCTGCATCTTCTCGAAATATGGTAGTCCTCAAAACTATGCTTTTTAACTTCAGCATGTTGGTCATCTTAACTTTTCATGCAATAGGTTAACTTCGTCCATCTTACATAATGACTACAATGTGAGGTAGAAATAAACAGTGCCATGCTCACAGTGGGATACGAAACACTATTTTAAATATTTGCAGTAGCATGCACCATAAAGTATCCCATTTTCTGAACAAGGATGCGATACAGTGCACGAAAATAACTTAAAACTGTTGGCATTTGAATTGTTGATGAGGTTGATTTTATTTGATAAAGTAAGAATGATGAAATAGTAAATATCATATATTCACAATTTAGGGTAACATATCAAATGTGGATTAAAACGTTCAGAAATGCCTACATCATATTTATCAATTTAAAGTACTGTCTCCTTTTAATGACTGTTAAAGCGCATGCAACTCCTGTTACTTTCAAATATTTTACAGAAATGTTTACATTAAACGGCCTCAAGGGAGATAAACTAAAATTATTCACGTAAAACAATGCTAACAATACTTTCAAAAAAGCAACACTCAGCTAAACTCAAGAACATGTCTTTGGTATTAAAAAAACTAGCTGTATAATATGATGAAAAATTGATCGGGCACTAATGAATAACAAAGTACTGTTTTTACTCAAAGATTATAGATGAATGACAAGATGAAATATAATTTGCAATATAAGCAGGAGAAAATTACAATCATGTGAGGGGGGAAAAAACCCTATTGTTTTACAAAAAAAAAAAAAAATCTGTCGTTACGAGACAAATAAGTTGAGCACTGCTGCGTAGCTTGTCAAATCCCAGTTTTGTATGTTTGTAGCATCAACGCCATCAATAAGTAGATTGTTTAGTACCCTGAGTAAGAATGAACTAAGAGTGGCTCATTTGTGGGTTAGTCGCATGAAGATTCATAACTCGACTGTAATGTCAACATTAAAAAAAATATCCATGATTCTAACATGGAATGTTGTATACAGATTTTCACTGAGTCAATATAACCCTCGCATCCGCCAGACTGTTGATTTAAACAACCAAAGACTCTGAAAAACTCCAGATTTAACCCCACCCAACTGAGATACAATATTCTCTTGGTTAATTAACGCTTATACTGTCAAATTACAGATGGAATATATATGTTTCAATCAAAACAAGCATGAAGCTTTAATTTCACTCATCGAATAGCAATCTCAAGACTGTTTCAAGGCTGCTCTTTGTTAATCTGCAAATGGATGGTGTGATGTGTAAATTATGAGGTTCATTATTCATGAAAGATAGTAGATAGCCTATCATGTTCATGTGTTGTTGAGAGATTTTATTGTATTGTGTTTTATGATAGTTATGATAGATGTCAAGTGAATTTATGGTATATGGCCTACAGTATAAGCGATGTTGAGTCTGTAAGTATGTATGTATGTATGTAAGTATAAAGTATTTACTTTGTTACCGTGAAGTTGATACATATTAGCCTTAAGGATCTCAATGACAATTACATGGATAATCCAAATATGCTTTTGTCTGACCTAAAGCATGAATTCATGCTTAAAGTATTTCAACAATGACTTGTGGTTTAACATTGTGCTGCATTCAGTCGACACATTAAAGGGTTCAAAAGTCTTGAACTGTCCACGTGTTACTGTATTTTGCCTTTTGGTGTTTCTGACTTTCACCATGTCTTCATACAAAGTATCGTATATGTGCACTGAAGAATATCACTTTTGTCTTTTTTTTTTTTTTTAGCTTGTCTTTTTCTGACCACACACCAGACCACAGTTTAGGTGCATAACGCACATTCTTACATCCAGTACAAAAGCTGTCAGACGTTTGTGCATGCCACAGTGCTTCCTGCTGACCTTTTTTTAAGTCCGTCTGATAATGTCATCATTTCATTCTCCATCCAGTAGGCGGGTGCCCCCTGAACTGGTTGGCAGTCATTTCATTATTATAATAATTGGTGGTAGTAGTATAGTCGTAGCAGTAGCAGCATCAGTACTGTAGTAGTAATAGTAGTATTCCATTCATTTTGTAATCCGCTTTACTATTATTTTACTTATTTATCTTTTTTGTAAAACTGTTGGCGTAATATCGTTCGTTTCATGTCATTGTTGCAGTTATTTCTCGTGCGGAAAAGAGGCTCAGAAAATGGATGGACGGATGATGTTTCCTATAATGTACTGTACTCTAGCACCTTCAAGTGGCCTTAAAATAGAATTGCATGCTATATTTGACAAAAGCTGAATCTGCCACTCAACACTACACGTCATATCAGTATTGAGGTCTTTTGAGGTTGACACTACGCATAGCAGTAAAGTCGTCATACTTGAACTAGATTTACAGTACACACACACACACACGCGCACACATTTCTTTTTTTAAATGAAAATTTCCTGAAACTATTACAGGAGCCTTATTTTCATACGATCACACGAGCATGTTAATTATATATATTTTTTTTTAAATGGGAAAAGAAGCTTGTTACAAATCACTCATGGTTAGTAATGGATGCAACATGAAACGTGCCACTAGACGATAAAGTGTAAAGGACACGGTGTACATTCATTTCCCTACATGCTGCTGCACTTAACGAAAATAGCAAATAGAACAAACATGTTTTTGTCCCACTTTTCGGATGTCAATGGCAACCATAGGGCTTCCACACGCTGGGTCTCTGGATGCCTAATTAACTTTCGATGCTGCAGCGTTGGGCGCAAGCTCCAAATCACGTTTTTTTTTTTTGTTTGTTTTGTTTTTCTTTTTTGCGTCCACTTATTCTTGTTTCCTGCGCATTTTGAAGTTAGCGTTCAGCTCAGCTCAATGGTAAAGTAACTGTTGATTGCGGTCTGGAAATGTAATGTGTCCCCATAGATACATCTCAATAGATGAGCTCTCATGAGAGGCAGCCCTCAAGTAGAGGTCGGTGTGGCTCCTTGGCGAAGCACCCTGCAAAACGCGGCTTTGCGCACGACAACACCACATTCTATTCTTCTATATGAAAAGACACTCCGCGCTTCGTGGTAGAACTTTATATTGTTGTGGTAGCTGGAGATTATAAAATGCGCCATTTTAAATCTTTCTAAACGCGTGGTTTAACCGTATCGTTTCCTTTTCTGAAAAAAAAAACTCGTATTTTGTAAAACAAAAAAATTGCGGGTGAAAATACTTTTACGCATAAGGATGGGCTCGGAAAAACCGAGTTTTCTGTCCCAACCGGTGGTGAAGAATATCTTCATGTTCCGCAATGGTGACCCATACTTCGAAGCCCGTAGAGTCGTGATTAACCAGCGGAAAGTGTGCAACTTCGAGACTTTTTTGAGGGAGGTTACGGGTGGCATCCAGGCGCCTTTTGGAGCCGTGAGGAACGTCTACACTCCGCGTGGAGGACACAGAGTGGACTGTCTGGACAACCTGCAGAGTGGGGAGCAGTACGTCGCCGCTGGAAGAGAAAGATTTAAAAAGTTAGAGTAAGTAACATGCATTCATTTCAGCCCCTATATTATCATTTTTTTGTTGTTGAAATGCTATGTACAGTATGTCACTGAATGGCGAAATCCCGAACAGCCTTCATCACATTTAGCCTAACAAATGATGGAACTTTCTATCAATTTCGCACACGAACATTTGTTGGAATTTCTTGTAAAAGTGATGTTTGGCTGTGACTTTTCCAGCCATGCTAAATCACAGCTTTGGACAAGTTGGATCAGGATAATTGTGTGCATCACTATGGCTTAAAAATGAGAAAGCTCTTGCTATAGGTAATAAGATTTGTGGTTGTGAAGGGCGCAGTGCATCGGTTCACGATGGAGGCATTTTATTGTGAATGCCATGTACACCAGGTGTCAAACCCAAGGCCTGGGGGCCAGATCTGGCCCGCCGCATCATTTTATGTGGCCTGCGAAAGCAAATCAACCAGGTCAATTTCCATGACACTTGCCAAAATCTGTACCAAAATTTCAAGTTGTCATGTAATAAATAGGCATTTTGAGCTATTGCAAGCATTTTCTTCTTGTACATTATTACAGAAAAAATATCCTGAATTCCCAGTCACTTCTGATGCTGCGTCATCAGTGGGTGAAAGAGGAGTCTGTGTGACGCTCCTTGTAGGTGCAAAAGCGTTATATGAGTGAACACCCATTCACCACTGAGAAACAATGCATTTTTGTGTGAGCACACGTCATTTGCAATCATTGGCCCACATTTGTGGGAGTATTTTGTAGCATTGTAGGCTATGTCAGAAGTTGTGGCCTAGTTGGGACAGCGGGTTGTCCATGTGACTGAAGGCTCGAATCCTGGCTCAGACTGCCTGCTGTCACAGTGTCCTTGGGCAAGACACTGAATCCTAAAGTGCTCACAGTGGTCCTGGCAGCGTCTTGCATGGCAGCAGTCGGCCATGAGTGTATAAATGTGTGTGAATGTAAGTCTCTGTAAAGCGTATTGGACACTTCGTGTTGTCAATTAAGTGCTATGTAAATACACTCCATTTACTATTTACCATTTGCCCTATTGATTCTGAAAGGAAAACTAAGAAAATACTGCATTTTGTGATCAGCACTCCACTTGCTGCTTTTTTTCTATATTCTGTGACATAATTTCCAGAATACACCCTCCCTTTATTGATCAGTCTTTGGTACATAGTAAAACAAAACACACTGTATTTGACAGTAATGAGTCAAGAAAATCACAGATTACATTTATTCACTGTATACTGTCTATCTCTTGTCTGCAGTTATTTGCAGATTGGCTTGAGAAAGAGAAGGATGTTACAGTCGCTTCCACTGCAGGTAAGCAAAAAAAAAAAAAAAGAGACTGTGGTATCATATTTGTTGGGATTGTTTAATCAAAGATTGATTCTTAATTGGTCAACACAACCACTTTCTTCCTCCATATGGGAAGTCTGGCAAGAGCACAAGCTTCAGATCACTTTATAAATGGCTACTGTTCCTTTGATGCAATGTGCGGATCAGCCATGCTTGGTTTCAACCAGTGACACCACGCATATGAAGGATTTGATATCGGAAATATTGAAAACACTCTGCCATATCATGATAAATTGTAAATGATGACATCTGTTGTTGTTGTTGGAATGTTACGTCACACAACTTCAGTGTAGCGGTATATTATGTTTTTTTTTTTAGGTTACATTTGGTTTTGTTCCCTCGTGTGGCCTTTTTCTCCTTACATGTTCTCGTCATGCGGGTCCCTTGTGTTTAACCAATCAGTTCCCTCAACAGCTCCCTTGTCTAGGTGTTTCCCGTCTCGTCACTTTGCTTGTATTTAGTTCCCTGGGTTCTGACAGTCTTCTTCGGATCATTGTGAGTGTCTTTGTTCTCCTGTCATGTTTTGTTTTTGGCATAGGTTCTTGTTACTTTGGTTCCTTGTGGTTTTCAGGACTTTGTTCGAGTACTTAAGTTAGTTTTTTTCCAGTGTACTCCTGTTTGTATTTTTTGTCAATACATTTTGTTCAGTCCACCCTGCTCCTCCCTCCTTTTTGGGGTCCTCCAACTACCATCATGCAAAACGTGACATATATGTTTCTAAATCGCACATTCTGCTTCTCTTCATTTTGACCAAATGCAGTTTACATCGTTTGGCGGTCATTGAGGTCTTGCTTGATATTGCTGGTTACATGCATAACGTCCAGAGTGTTCCACTTCAAATTAATATTTAGATAATAAATTCAACAGCTGTCCAACTTGAATGTGCAATACAGTGTTGGGTCAAAACAGGCTCTTGTTTTGGACTGAGCAGGACCAAGTTTTTTTTTTTTTTGGTCTGCTTCTTTGGAACATATTGAGTATTCCAACTGTTATTTGTGTTCCTGCTTTAGTCTTTTCTCCTGTATGCAAGATGTATTTTGGCACAGAACCTTGAGTACTTTTGGTGACTTGATTACCTGCTAAAATGAATGTTGTAATCTTCTATCCAAGTACCACAAATCCCCCACCCCATTTTACATGGCTGATTGTGTCAATCAGTGGTAAGAACTCTTAACTGACCGAATAACTGACTGCTGTGTTTCTTATTATTACTTGTTATAAAGAAACACCATTTTGTTCAGAGAGCATCTTATAGGCCTTTAAAAAATCATGGTAGTGCACCTCAGACCATGTACAATGTTTTTGGGGGGAAATCTATTATTTGCAATATGTTATAATAAATAATGGCATCCATAAGATGAACAAAGGAGCTTTCTCCTCTCATAATATACATTCAGTAATAGTCAATCTGAATATACATACATACATCATTGTCTTGAAAATGCATAATTTACTTTTTTTTTTTACTCGTAATTTTACTTTTGATTTTTTTTTGCTGTAACCTTTACACATGCAATGAATTTAGTAAACTGAGAAGAGTCTGACAGGTTTTTAATATCCCTCCCCATTTTGGGGGATTCTGTTATTGGGATGAAGCAAGTCTTCTTGGTGTTGAAATAACACTTTTTTTCTCTTTGTCTGAAAAAAAAAAAAAAACTAAATAAACATGTCTCCATTGCACCAACTGTGATATTTTTTTGGGGTCATGTTCATGACTATGGCAATCAGGGCAATCTACGATTTCTGTTCGATTTTTCAGTCTAATGTATTTATAAAGCACTGACAAATATTTATGATATCCCTTGATATCAACACCTGGGAGGGCAAGGGAAAATTAGAAAGAAAAAAAATACATCTGGAGAAAAATTTGAAGCCTTGAGAAGGGGCTGCAGATGGGGGGGGAAATCCCCCTTGCAGGAAGACCAGGCTGCAATGGATGCCGAATGGCCAACATTTAAGAATATGATGATATAAATTTATATATATATATATATATATATATAATTTAAGTTAAAATAATGTGGAAGCACACAGGTAGACTGCAAGATCTCTCCTTGCAGATGATGTGGTCACCACGTATGTAACCGTTGTCTCCACAAAGCAACCAAAAGTTTAGTTTTTGTAATATACTGTAAACTGGATATAAAATTGTTTTATTTTCTCTTTTCTCTCCAGGCCAAACCACTTCCACCAAATCGATTTTCTGTGTCTGCTAGGTTCTTGAAACCAATTAAGGAGCCGTGTCCAATATTGTGAGTGCAGGTACCCCTCATGCAAGATGACACACCATTGTTGTGCCGCTCAATGCATTGTTTGTACATTACTTCTACTTTATGAATGCACCATTTCATTATCGTAGCAATTGCTACTGCATGGAATGTAACTGGAACAAACTTGCTCTCATGTCAAAATCTGCTAATACAGGACATGTGAACTCTTGAGTAACCCACTTTTCAATGCGTAATTTCTGTGCCATGCTCATACTTTTGTACTCAGTGTGGTGGCAAATGGTGACACGATGGATCCTGCAATAAGGCTGCTCATTCACCAGAGGATGCTGAGCCAGTTTGAGAGAATACTTGAGATGATCACAGAGAAGATGGGTTTGAGAGTCCTTGGCGGTGTGAGAAGGTATTACTGAAATTGGGTACGGATTATGTTTTGACAAATAATTAACAGTCTATCTACCTTGTTATTCAAACTGAGCAGATTTCTGACTGATGGCACATGCCTTGTGTTTAGGAATCATTTATAGACATCTTTTTTTTCAGTTTACTAACTGACATAACATGATCCTTATGGATGACTGCACTAGTTTGTATCATGTATTTAACTCGTCTAACAGTAATTGGAGTAAAAGAGGACTCGATTTGACTCATTCGCTTTTATTGTGCTAGTCTTTACACTCACGAAGGCCAGCAGGTGACTGATGGCACTCAGTTGGAGAGCGGTCAGCTCTATGTGGCCGTGGGCAGAGAGAGATTTAAGAAGCTCTCCTACACTGACCTGCTGTTCAGCAAACCTCGAGGGGGGCGGAGGGTCAATGGGTAAGCACTATATGACACTCCAATGCTGCACACACTGTATTTCATGCCTACAGCCAAACTGAAAGTGACGATTTTGTCTTTTTTTTTTTTTTTTTTACATTTACCTTACTTTTTACTTTTAGGATCATGTTGTTACGTTTCCACAATTGTTGGTTGTCCAATAGGTCATACCCTTTTCTGCATGTAAATGTAATTCATGCTGCTGTAATATTTTGAATACTTTGGCCACCAGACCTACTGTGTATTTTGGAAGTACAGGTACAGTGGTACCTCTACTTGTGAACGTCTCTTCATACGAAATTTCCAAGTTATGAAACGCCACAACAGGAAATGATTGCCTCTTGTTACGAAAGAAATTTTAAGATGCGAAAGGTGAAATTACATTATGGGCTGCTACTCGTAGCTCTGAGTTTCCTGAACGCAACATACTTATAGCTGCTCTGCCATTGGCTATTACCGAGCATCTTCCTGGCATTCTATTGGCTAAGTGGTTAAGAAATTTCTTCCAGAACCAATCAATTTTGTAAGTAGAGGTACCACTGTATTTGTATACAGTATTGTTTTTTTTCTTCTGTGTGTACTACATACTGTAGTTTGGCAGCTCCTTTTGAACTTCACTACTACTACTACTAGTACTATGACTACTGCTACTACTGCTGCAACTATTACGAATAATAATAATAATATTAATAATAATACTACAAGAGCTCAAATTATTATTTTTTTGTTTCCAGCATGAAAACAGGAACCCTGCCGCCAATCTACAGATCCCCAAAGCAAAATCGAAACGTAAGAAACACATGCTTTTTATGTCACTGATTTTAAGTGATTTGATGATACAGAACAAATAACTTGCAAAACAAACACAAAACTTGCAACATAACTAGAATACAATTTGAGATTAGATTCTTCCTCTCACAGTTAAAATGAAATGTGCATTTACTTTTTTAACTCTAATGTTAGTCTGGCACAACATATGCAATCTCATTATGTTTAGCATTTTTCATTGTCCTATTATTCAGTGTTTTACCCCTCACAGTTCATGTAATCCTGATTTAATATCCCTCCAGAGAAAATCTGTGGTCCGGAGCACTGACAGCGGAGATGGCGAGTCAAAGGCCTCACCTCTAAGCATAAATGGCAGTAACAGAGATCACCTGTCCTCCATCGTCAGAGAAATCTCTCAGGCCAGACTTCTCTCTCTTAGGTTGAAGAGGAGTGGACAGAGCATAACCCTCTGTGACAATGGTAATACAATCAAACACGTTATGATAAATCGCGCACACACACACACACACACACACACACACACACACACACACACAGAACTGTCAGCTAGAGCTTGCCAATACATCACCATATTGCACTACGTTTAATTAAAATTATCATTCATTCATCCATTTATTAATATATCCGGAGCACTGACAGCGGAGATGGCGAGTCAAAGGCCTCACCTCTAAGCATAAATGGCAGTAACAGAGATCACCTGTCCTCCATCGTCAGAGAAATCTCTCAGGCCAGACTTCTCTCTCTTAGGTTGAAGAGGAGTGGACAGAGCATAACCCTCTGTGACAATGGTAATACAATCAAACACGTTATGATAAATCGCGCACACACACACACACACACACACACACACACACACAGAACTGTCAGCTAGAGCTTGCCAATACATCACCATATTGCACTACGTTTAATTAAAATTATCATTCATTCATCCATTTATTAATATAGGACGTGAGTGATTATTGCTGCATGTGCTTGTAACCTGCGGTTTTCTGTATATCAAGTCATCTAAAGTCGCAAGGCTACTTACTGTCTTCCACATGCATGATAAAAAGAAAAAAATATATACTTATACTCTTGATATCAACATTTGGCACAACCACGATGCAAAGCGGTTTGAACTTTTCTTCAACATCCTTGATACACATCTTAAGTTCCTTGCATTTGTACGCTCTTTATCCTCACTAGTAGGAAAATTTAGCACACGAGTAGAGCAACTGCGGCACAGTAGTGGAGCCACTATTTTACAATATATTAACCACCGCTGCTCTGTGGCATTGCTACACACAAGATAACTTTGGCAAAGTAGCAGTAAACAGGTACGTGTTACTTGTGAGGTAAAAATGTGCACTGCTTGACATCCACATGCCACGAGTACTACTTATGTGTGACATTTTATCTTGTAGAATTGTATAATGTCACTATAGTTGCACGCAGTGGTCAACTAGAGCAAATGTTTTGCCTTACAGTAAAATGTAAATACTGTAGGACTCTCCCATGCCAAAGTTGTCCTACTAGTGTGCAGCAACGTCATAAATGACAGAAATGTCCGACCAGTTGCATGTCGTTGCGCTCAGTTAGTGTGTAATTGCATCCAAGGAACATATGGAAAACCGTTTGTACATTTATTCAATGTCCTTGTTCAGTTTGGGATTATGTGTCAGTCGGCCAAAAGTGGAAAGACTAGTAAGAAATGAAATGTCTTAGTTTAGTATGGACAAAGATTGCACATTGGACCTCAAGCTGGACATCAAGGACTTGGAATCAATGCTCAAACGTTTCTCCATACAAACATTGTTCACTCGACTTTCAGTAGAATGACGTAATGCCAGCCCCATGCAATCTTATGTAACCTGCTGCCTCCTTAAACGGCCACTAAGAGGCGCAGTTGCGCCGCGGCAGATCGTGAAAGTGGGCAATGATGAGATTAAACACTTACAAGAAACACATTACGTCACCTTCACTTCGCTCTGGTCTAGTAAATAGGCCCACAATTTCCGGTTAAAGCACGCTCATCGCTTTACAGATCAGGGGACTTGACAGGCTTTGGCTGACCTTACGTGACCTCCATTGCAGTAGGAGTCACCAAACATCACCCAGTGGTTTATCATAGATTCAGGCGTGTTTTCATTTTTCACCAGGCTTTTGGTGATCAGAGTGTGTTCCTTTGTTCAGAATTTCTGCATTTGTCATGAGCCACGCTTGTGTCAAACATTTAAATGTGCCCCAAAACGTTTTTGCACATGTTATTGTTTGACTTCTTGTAAATTAACGTAAGTGCAGATCACCATGTTCATTTCCTCTTGGCTGACATTGGCCACAGATTACATTAAGGGACAGACATTTCAGGAAACAAGACTGGACAATGTACACGTTCTTTTGTGTCATTTACAGATGTTCCTTTTTCCATTTTTTTCAACGTTCATTCTTTGACCTCAAGCATACATACATAACATATTCCCCCGCCTGTCCTTTTACTGTCATTGAACGTCACAAGCAATGCTGTCAATGTACACCAAACAGCATACAGGTATATAAATAATAATAATATAAACATCTATAGCAATTAAAAGCCAGGAAATGTACACGACTGACTGATGCAACAAAACAAAACAAAAAGGCCATTATACCGTCAAGGAGTGATTCAAATATAGAAATCTGAAAGATGATAAATAAGAAATAAGCAGCTGGGAAACTTATGACTATAGTGACAGAGAGGTCACTTTTTGTGCGTGTGGCCATTTTTCACTGTCTGTCATCTGGTGGGAACCAAGGGAATAAGGAAAAATGTGGAAAGCTTCAGACTTTTCTGCTTCATTAGAGTGAACACAGATGCAAGTGACAGAGAACACAAGGAAAAGGGTAGTGGTAGTGCAACAACTCATGCAGCAAAGGTCATGGAGTCTCTTTCTTTCTCTCTCTCTGTCTCAATAACAACTTTCATTTTTGATCTGGAGACAACCAAACTGCTGATGCTGTTATTCCATGAATAGAAAAGAAGTCTTGATGTGTTCCCCTACCCTCCCACCCCCCACCACCAAAATGTGACCAGTAACTATGGTTAATTAAAGATGACAGCAGAGCAAAAAAAGAGAACGATTGCATAACAAGTGAGGCTATGTGAGCTGTTATGAAAAGTGAGCATAAAGGCGTCCGTTAAAGGAGGGAATAGAAGATAAGTAAAATAGAGTGAGGGGAAAAAAGACGCCATGTACAATGAAATATTGGTGAATAGTTGGAGATGTGAGCTTTGGGAAGGGAGGGGATAAAAATGCATGGACATATTAAAGGCCGGGAGATGGTAAGAGCTTTGGAATCATTTGGTTAATCTCTCAATTTAGAGTCATCAAAGCAGAAATGAACTTGCCTGTGCCCCTTGCTGGGACTAAATTGCAGCTCTGGAAATCAACAAAAGAGCCTGTTACTCGAAGAAGAGATCCTCAGATATGGACATGATGTGGGAGACGAGAAATGAAATGGTTGCAAGCACTCTGTCCACTGTTCATTGGACTGTAAACTTTATGGATTTTTTTTCTTTTTTAAGTCTGCTCTGAACCTGACTGGTATGGCTCAAAATTCAGGTCACCCGCCGGCAAGGGAGCAATATATTTTAATTTGACCTGAAAATAATGGATTAAGAATAGTTTTGATGATCCACTGTCGTGCTTTATATATTGTTGATGTCCTACAGCAACCCCATATGGCGACAGTTTGAGCCAATATTGCAAACTGAACAGAACACAAACTGTAGATTTATGACTCACGACCACACATGGAAAAATGGGCGATTTTAGGAACAGAGGTATAGGGCTGGGCTCCTGTCTCATCCAAATACAAATGCTAGTTTCAAACAGAAGACAGCAATGCCGGATTTGACAACCTGAAAGAGGAAGTCAAGTCAAAATGGTGACAATAACATGCCGTATATGCCCCCACCAGCGTAAACACAGTATCCCGATTAATGATGTCTGTGTGGAATATAAATAAAGCATCAAATCCACCCGTTTTATCCGACTCAGGGGGCGACCATTTTGCCACTTGCTGTAAAAATTACATCACAGGGCCTAAGGCACTGGTGTCAAAGTCAAGGCCCGGGGGCCACATCCGGCCCCCCACATCACTTTATGTGGCCCATGGGAGCAAATCCGGTGTGTCAATTATCATGATTCTTGCTGAAATCTGTACCGAAATGTCAAATCGTCATGGGTAATAAATAGCATTGAGATTTTGCACTGGCCCTCCAAGGGAAGCCGTAACTCCGAAGTGGCCCGCGACTAAAAATCAGTTTGACACCACTGGCCTAAGGGTTCAGTGTCACATGACCAAACCCAGAAAACAGATGAGCTGTGACCGTCATTACCTGAGCCCTTAAGTACTGTGATGTCATTTTCAGCCACCAAATTGTCACTCTGCCAGCTGCATCTCTAGCGACACTCCCGATAATGTATCAGCATGCCCACCATGGCAGAGGTCGGCCTACCAAATTGTCAAACGCGAACTAACATTTGTGCTCCAGCATGTGTGCGCCGTCGCAAATGCAGTGTCTCTCAAAATAGAGCTCGCTGTCTGATTGTTTTTTCCTCAAATCAATCACTTATCCCATGCTGTAATCATTGGCAGTTAGCGGCAGAAAGCTTCGCGTAATAGACAGCAGGAGTCGGTAGGAGCATGGTGAGAACTCCCCAAAATACACATTTGGAAAATGTGTCCATTTGAAATGTTGTAAAACATGTGGATTTATTAACATTTTGTGATTTAATCGCTACTCTGTATTGAGTAACCAATACTTTTCCACGACTGTGCCATCAGATGGATCTGGTCTAGTGGGGCACTGTCCCATAATCATCTGGACATCATATTGCTGGCAAGCAAGGACACTTCCACTTGTTTACCTCACACACAGGCACAATTGTTACCATCCAGTTACTGTTTGTGCATTGGTTGTACAAACAGGTGCTTCTTTAGTTTTGCCCCTTTGTTCAAATTTTGTGGTTCATAAATAACTGAAATACTAACTAATAAATAAATAACAGGTAACATACTGCACATTAATAGTGAAGATATGTCTACTTTGTAATGGAAGGAGGTGAGCGGCTTGAGACCCAGTAACTCATCATCCAAGGTCTTCTTTTCAGCAGAATCGTTTTTTTTCTCTTTCTTTCTTTCTTTGGGAATATTACAGCCCCTTTGTGTCAGACCTTTTGGAGGTAGTGGTGGAAGTGTAGAGTGATTTTCAAATAGAGCTAGGTAAGTCAGGGCCAGCATTGAAGCCTTAAGGGTATTCATTCACACAAAACCTCATGTTGAAAAGCCCACTGCCTCCTTTTCATGCATGTACGGGGCTCCATCTTTTTAATGCAGCAGCAGCAAATTCAATTTGCCGAATGTCACATGATGGAGCACCATTACATCCACTTATGTTATTTACTTTCCCAGTCAAGGACGGATATCAAAGTATGAAGGCAAGTCTAAGGCCATTTCCAGACGAAAACATTGCAGTAATTTCAACAATTTAGAAATACGTACTGGGCTGTTGTCCACATGCAAACTTGAAAACAGACAGTGCAAGATTTGCGTTTAGTCTGTTCTTTCTAGAAGCTTTGTATTGTAGTGTGATATTCACAAATTACAACGTCCCACTTTTTGTTATTCCATTTTGTTCTCAATTAGCAATTTTTATTGTTCAGTTTTTCTAAAAATGTATGTTTGGCTTTTGAGCATGGGTGGGGTTTTCTTTTGATATTTCCTAGACTCACTCATGTGAAAGAAGGCGTTTACGCCGTTATGTGCCTTTGCGGGTTTGAATGCACACGACTCCAGGGAAATTGAAGGAGCTCCCCTCATTCCCTTTAAAATCAAGGCGGTCAAAGCGCAAACATTGCTTGACATTGCAGACGTAGAAATTGACTCGCTCGTTCTTCCCTTGCAGCTGGTGTAGTCAGCTGCACATGTGGCATGGGCAATTGGACATCACCTTGCAGCCCCAATCACTCACAAATGCTCCCCGCCCCCGCCATGGAAAGTGTTAGTCCTGTGATTACCCAACTGAGCTTTTGAGGGCATTCTGAAGGCATGCATAATTCGGACTTCATAAAATACGTACCCCCGCCCCACCCAAAATCCAAATTTAAGTTTTCATGTATGTCACTATTAAGTATTATTAGAAAGTGCATGCAAGGAAAAGCTGTTCATCGAGAGAATGCATTTGTGTGTGCGTGCGTGCGTGCGTGCGTGTGTGCGTGCAAGTCATCCAACCAGATCAACCCAGAGCCTTTAGTGGCATCGAAGGCAATGCTGCCAAGGGGAATTACCCATGTTAGCATATGCATCTATAATGCCTGTCAGACCAAAACAGCGCTGGGAGACAGGAGGCATGTGCACACAGACAAATATAATGTGGCTGTGTCAAAAAAAGGCTCAGAAGCTAAAGGATGAGGAATGGCAATATTTAAATGTTTTTTTTTTCCTGTTGCACAGATCATTTTGGGGGATTGTGTGAGCAACGTGTTATTTGTGTGTATTATTCAGTGTGTGTGTGTGTGTGTGTGTGTGTGTGTGTGTGTGAAAGGTTCTTTATGACCCTTTGATGCAGGATTAGGGGATTAAAGTGCAGGGCGGCAGCACTAATCTGCCACATTAATCTGTTAACAAGTGTTTCAGCAGCGACATATAAATAACTGTGACATGCAGTGTGTAAGGTCTGACACTTTTACAGACACACATTTTCCTCATGTCTGTCATTTTAAATCCAAGCTGCTTTGCGCAGCTCACAGAGACATATCGAAATTTGCAAGGGAGCTGCGCCGAATGCTCACATAGCTTTTATGTCTAATCTTAAAGGCATAATGTTGCATTTACAGAAATCAAACGTTTACATCACACGTAAGCGCTCAATACTGGAGCAGAATGGTTCGGTCTCATACGAGGTGTGTCAGAAAAGTTTCACGACTGGTGTCACAAAAGATACATTTCAAACTTGGAACGATGGGTTTTCCCTTTCAATACTGGCTCGGATTTGCTTTGTTCAGTGGGTGAGAAGAAACGAGAGTTGTGGCAGGACAACCCATGGCTTTTTCACCATGACACCACACTTGCTCACAATAACTCTGAGCATCTGATAATTCCTGGCTGAGAAGAACATCACACCATCAATATCGCGCTCGAGCAACCTCTCTACTCACTTAACCTCTTTCCCAAGATCACGGGGGTGAATAAAGGGACCCAATTTTAAGGTCGGAATGACATCAAGATGACCATTAGAATGGCGCTGTGAAGGATCTTACAAGAATACTTCTCGGAGGGTATGAAGGTGTGGCACAGAAGGCTTTGAGGAAGGTGTGTTAGAGCCCTGGAGGATTGCTTCGAAGGGTATAACTTGTAGTTCATCGTTTGGATTTGAAACATTTGTTTTAGTGAAATTAGTCCTGAAACTTTTCTGACACACCTTGTAGGCTTGTACGGAATGCATTACTATTGAAAATCTTCTGTACCAGGGACTCACATTGAATAACACTGGTCAACAAATGCTTTTTTTCCGTTGCGATCCAAGTAAACTTTTCTAGATTAATTTATTATGCTGATTCCAAATCTGCCCTTATTTTCTCTTGCACATCAGGTTTCATTATAATAATCACCCATCCATTATCCAAACCTCTTATCCTCATAAGGGTCGCAATAATAATAATGATAATAATAATAATAGGGGTGGCGGCCCGGTGAGCGAGTGGTTAGTGCGTCGGCCTCACGGGTGTAGAGGTGCAGCGTTCGATTCCGGCTCCGGCCTTCCTGTGTGCAGTTTGCCTCTTCCATATGTGGTGGAAATCACTTGGGTCGTTGTTTTGTAATCCTGCCGCCGAACAAACACACTGAAGCCATACGTTTTAACCTCACACGATCATGCATAAAACATAGTGTTTAATTTAACTTGGAGTTAAGAATATGACATTTGTCCTCTGTCATTTCTTCATCATTTCACGATCTTGCTTTTCTGCTTATGGGATTATTCTAGCACGTAATGACCCAATATTAGTAATGTAAGATAATGCAACCATTTGTCGGAAGAATGATACAGCATACACTTTAAGACAGCCGAACCCTAAATTGAAAGAGGCACTGAATGTACTCATTATGTTATGTACTTTGTAATACAATACTATGAAGTACTCCTCATGTCATAAAATTCAACAGCCATTAGGTGTGTTTGAGAGAGACTATCACAGATGGTGCAGCAAATCCATCAGAATAAGTATCCAGCAGATGGATTTGTTTTGTTTTGTTTTTTTTTCCCCCCCATCGTGTCAAATTGCCATAAACAAGCAGAGAGTTTCTCGTGGATTCTGGCCATAATGTCATTACATTTTTTAACAGGACTACGGTCGGTGAATGGAGCCGCAGTTGCTGAGTGGCAACATTTCTTAATTGCCATTCAGAGTTGGTGCTCATGTTGTTTTACGCACCACCGTAACTCAGCTACGTGCTTGCTGGAGGAATCCAACTGGGCGTAAATAAGAAATATATTGAAACTGATTTAGGTCCATCAAGTGCTACATCAAGACGGTGTGTTAACTACGAAGCTTAAGCGATAAATGTAGAATTGGCTTTTACTTTTTACAATATAGTTGCATCACTGCTCGTAAAAGCAAAATGGACAGTGGGGCATAAGGTCACACATCATCTGTATGGGGAAGTGACTTCATTTATTTCTCCTTGAACTGGCATACACCGAACAAAAAAAAGAAAAGAAATCAAAATAAATCTTTTTAAGAAGGAAAATGCCGAGACAATAAAACATGGAACGGACTTTGCAATTCCAAATTCTACAACATTGGAGGTGTTTGACATTTGAGGTTACACTATGTCGTTTCAAGCCTTTTTTTTTTGCACAGAAATATTGACGGTGAATCTTTTTCCTTTCAGGAAGGGCTTTTTTGGGGGGGATAAAAACAGCGTCGGTGTTTTAAGCAAATGATTGAATGTGTAAGAAGTGAATGGCTTTACACTCAAGCATCAACCAACGAAATCACATACTGATGAAAAACAAAATTGGTCCTCTGTGTTGACATCGTGTGTACGAGACAACATGCTTTTACGCGGGACAAAAAAAGATACATGAGCACAAGAGTGTATCATTACGGTGTTGAGCACATAAATAAGTTGAATTTCTGCACACGTTCACTCTAAAGCTGTAAATTCTGTTTACATTTTGCACTCCAACAAAGCAGCCTTGCAAAGGCTGCTTCAAATGAAAATGCATTGTCTTGCTGCTGCTATGTTTCAAAATGACGTCTTTATTCAATCTGGCAGGACAAATTTGGCAGCTGTGTGTGGTAGGAGTCATTTTTTGAATGCTGCACATTATTCGCAATCAGACTTTTCTTCTTCTGGTGACCGAAAGAGCTCAAGGAAATCCACAAGCACAATTTCAATAATAGCAACAGACAAAAGGCAGTGGGAATGAAATGATATTCATCAAAAATACAAAAAAGTAATGGAAAGGATTTTGTCTGATCTTTCGTATGGCAATTTCTTTTTCCACTTGTTATTCGAGGCTTGACAGCTGAAAAGTTGCCCTGGCTGGCCAGCTAAGTGGCAAAAATAATTGACACTTGTCCTTATTTCCAAAGTCATTTTACCATCTGTATGATTTTAATGTGATGTATTAAGATGAAATTATCAACGATTGTTGCTTTAACATGAGGGGAATAACATACTATGCTTGATTGAAGGATGAGTGAAGCCAATGATGGCAATGGTGAAACTGACGTGACCTTTCTTTCTTTCATTTTCCTTCGACCTTCAATTTACCCATCGTGATCTTTCCCCTGTGAGCGTTTAAAGATGTTTCCGGCTCGCTCTTGAACAGTTCCATTGTGTGGACAAGTTGTTTACGTGCATGAAACCCAGCGGGGGGAGGGAGAGGTTTGTTATTTAAGACCAGCAGGTGTCCCTCTTGTGCTGTGTTTGCGCAAACCTAAAAGCTCCAGTTTTTAATGAGTCAATTGCAGTACCAGAGAAATACTGAAAATGTTGAATTTAAATGGAAGCGAGATGATGTTCAGAACTGGTGGACACTTGAAATAGACCGAAGACTATGGACTATATATTTTGAAATACAGTAAGACCATCAATAGACAACAGTACTGTAATTACATTAACACAACGCAGGGTATTAGGTTTTAAGGAACACTTTAACTGGAAAAAAAGTACATTCAGGTAAATATTAAACTATTAAAAATCACTGATTGGATTGGTCATAATGTTGAATTGAATGTTGATTTCTTGTTGTTTGCTTTTTGTATGGCTAAGAAAACTACTGTATGAAATGAGGACATTGTGTGTCCAAGTTGGGTCCACCTTTAATCTTTTTTTTTTTTTTTTTGGTCCTTTTACATCTTTCTCCCCAGATGACTTGGATTCAAAAACTGACGATGGAAAAGCTGCTGTTAAATCCTCAGACCAGTCAACTGAAGAGGTACAGTTTTGCAGTATTGTCTCTTACCATGGTACCGAACAGCTGTCAGCGTGTTTGCTTTTAAGAATGACTGAAGGTGTTTTCTTATCAGCGCATTGAGTCTCACCTCACCGATTTATATTGTTTTGTCTGTTTGTTCCTCCTTATTGTTTTCGTTGCTATGCATTTGCTGTCGCTCTTTTATGCTTTGTATCTTTTTTCTGCCGTCTAGCCTTGATGTCTCATGGTATATGAATTTGGATTACTCAGTGACAGGTTGTCAGTACGTCGAGCTTTCTACCAGAGTGTCAGCTCTCTTCCGTGTCTTCTGCATCCAGCGCTGCTCTCTGTAGTTACTTTGTATTATCCTAGATTAAGACTTTTACTCTTCAACTTCCGTGTCATGCTTGCTCCTGGGTCCTAATTCCGCTCCTCACGTGACACAATTGCCCCATATGACACTATAGAATTTAGATCACTATTTTGTCAGTGTTGACTTGAGTGCTTGTGTCATGGCCTGTAGATATTTAATACTGAACCATACGTCATAATATTTTAGTTATGGAGAGCGCTAAACCATTTCTGTTGCAGGACCTTGCATCAGATGACATTAAATCACCAGAGGGGACCGGAGAAAAGGCCGAAGAGAACCAGGAGGCCTCTGCTAAAAATACCTCTGAAAAGGACACTCCAGTTATCCCAGACGAAAAGGCAGATGAGGAGACAAATAGTCTCACAAACGGAGGTGCCAGAGAGGCAAATGAAGCAGGAAAGAATGAAAATGAGGGAGAAACAACTGCGGTGTCTGGAGAGCAGTCAGAGGAGGTAAAAGAAGTGAAGGATGGGGTAATATATGACACTAAGATGGCCTCGGATGAGAGGAGGGCGACACCAGCTGACAGTGGGCAGGCCTCAGGTCATAGTCAGGAGGATGTTGCAGATGAGAGGATGAAAACGAGTGCAGACGTGAGTGATGTGGCAGCAAATGTCAGAAAGGATGCTTCAGATGAGAACAAGGATGAGATTTCAGACAAACCAAAGGAGAAGAACCCCGATGTGTCCAAGGTGGAAGTGTCTAATGAGGCGAAGGATGGCGTTGCCAGTAACTGTAGGGATGAGATAACCGATGATGTTTCAGATGACAGAAAGAACGAGGGCTGCAATCAGGAAAGAAAGGATGAAGCTGTCGATCCGGTTGAGAGTAACGGTGAAGATGCAAATGAGATTAAGGATAAGGTTGGCAAAGAGAGGAGGGAGGAGGTTGCAGATAAGCTACCAAAGGAGAATGAGGATGCAGACGTCGGTGAGAATAAGGATGAGATTGCCAATGAGCATCAGGATGAAGATACCAATGAGAATAAGGATGTCCTTGCCAAAGAATGTAGGGAAGGGATTGCAGATCAGGCTCCAAATGAGAGTATGAGTGAGATTCCATATGAAAGTGAAGATGCAACTGTACAAGAGAATAAGAATAAGATACTCAATGAGACTCCGGATGAGATAAAGTCTGTAATGTCATCTGGGCACTTAAACAGCATAAATGGAGATACCAAAGAAGGTGAAAATGAGGGAAATGATACCAAAGACTGTGCTGTTAAAAAAGACAGTGGTAATGATCAGAAAGAGAATGAAAAGCAGTGATCACGGAAGGATGTAGGCTGATAGTTAGACCAAAGAAACAGCAATAGAATTTCCAATATCCAAGAAGCAGAGCTGAAGATGGAAGACCAAATATGAACCTCAAGATTCCATATCATATAGAGATGAAGTGAAACTAAGTGAGGTTGGAAAAAAAAAAAACAAGATAAAACCAATAAGCCAATGGGGAATAATCACAAATGTCATCATATTAGTTTATGAATATATTAAATATTTTAGAGGATTTTTGAAAAAAAAAACAATTATATAACAGAAGGAATGCAGTACTTGATGACAATCTTGGTATATTCTGAAAGCGGTTCAAATTCATTTAGCTCTGATATCTAACAGCTCCGTAACAGTAGGATTTATGGAATCATGAAATATGCCTTGATTGTATCGAGTGATCATTTAATTTGAATGTATTCTTATGAAAAACCCTGAAACCACAGCGTCTGTTTTCAGACAAAAGCGAATTTATGAACAACCATGGTAAACCGTGATGGTTGGCAGTTACTGGTTGGTTGGATGTTTAACCTGTTTACCACAATGGACTGCAGTTGCTCAGTGACCATTGTTATTATGACTTGATTGGAAAAGCCCACCCGGGATTAAAATGACGCTCTCCATTCATTCATTAACTGTGTATCCCAGGGACATAATGTTCCCATTCTTAGGTCACCAAGCTAAGTGTCTTACTATCATGAAATATTTCACCTGAATTAAAGTGAAAATATCTGCTGTTGCGATCCACGATAAAAATAAATAAATAAATAAAATTAAAAGCATTCATAAATTGTATACTCTTTGCGTTAATTCAATCGGACTGTTTTGTTCCAAACGTAAAAGTCATAATAGAAATGTCTTCTAACACATACATAATGTTCGTCTCAGAAGACATTTCCACTGATCCGAGCAGGCCTCATCAGTTCCTTCACATAACGACAGCTCTGAGCTAGAAATACAAAGGGGGAACAGAATTTTTTAGGGTTCAAGGTCCCACATAAATCATGTATGAAATGAGTAAAAACCCATTATTTGGATTTATGGCACCATATTCGAACAGTTTTCAGAACTGATCAGCATCATGAGATATAAAAGCAGTCAAATTTGGACCGAACTTTCATTTGACTTGTAACTTTTCACTGTTTATGTATATGCCACCAATTGATGATTAAAAAAATGTTGCCATATCATCATTTGACTAACGTCATCATTTTAGGGTGCTGCTGCCAATAATTCAAAAATGTCATTATGTTAAAAAAGATCATTTGCATATGTAAATTTGCATTCATTTTCTGAAGAAAATCATATCATTGCAACTCGTGGATTTCCTAATAATTTGCAACCACCCCCAAATTCCTGAATTGGGGTGATAATTAATGCCCTTCATTCTATAATTAAGCTTGAGACTCCCATTACATTAATTATTATAGAATGATCTGAAGAAATGCGGATGTTTTCCATTAATTTATTGCCTTGAAATCCAAAGAAAGAAATTGCTTTCAGATATCAAGCTTTTCCTACACTGAGATATTAGAATGCATGTGGGTGACGGCTTCATTTTCTTTCATCAGCAAGTTTTCTTATTATTTGGCATCCATCCTGCCTCGGATTCCAGGTGTGTGTGTGAGTCATCAGTGAGCAGATGTGTTGGGTGGGGGGAGGATGAGATGGTGGGAGAGTCAAGGCTGCTGAAGGTGATGGTCCTCAGGGTGCTATTTCCAGATATGTCATTAATTCTGTCCTATCTAGTCCACCAGTTCCTTTCAGTGTGTGCACATGTGGGTGTGTTAATGAGGCCTCAAAAAGCACACTTATCATCCAATACGTCGCTTTTATAAATTACCCTGCTGATGGACTACAGTGAAAAACTGTGCACTAATGAAGGGAACATCCACTGTTTGTTATAGAGTTTACAGCAGTAATTATAAAATGTATGTTTTTGTGTATATATATTAAAATACTTTTTTCTTTTTTTTTTTTTTAAACATAAAGACAGAGAGGAGGGCATTTTGCAAAATTTTCTCTATTGATCATCTGCCAGTGGCCTGTCTGTCATCGCCAATCCATCTTTTTTTTTTCAATATGAACCAAACTGTAATCTTCAGTCTCACAGCCCATCAGGTTATTTTAAAGGTCTATTGGAACACAGGCCCCCTAGTAATGACTTAATTGAAAGAAATGAATTCCACGAGTTTCGTTTTCAAATTTTGGTTTGTTTTCTGTAGATTACAATGTCCTGAATGGACAACCAGATTCACTTGATCTCAAATGAAACTCAGTTGCAGTTGCACGGCTGAATCGAAGGCCAGCCAATGTTTTCCGTCTTTCTTTTGCAGTCAGTATGTGTTTTACATGCTGATAGACAGCGTTTCATGCTCCAGTTGTCATGTGTGCGTGATGGTATTGGAACCAAAAAGCAGCGAGGCAGGAGAAGCAGAGTACTGAACAAAATGTATGAACACAAAAAACAAACAAAAATAAAACACTTGCAGGGGTACACTGGAAAAATGAAATCCAAAACAAAAACAAAGCCTGATGAGGAAGACAAAAAATGAACATGGAGAAACAAAACCAACACAATCCAAACGAAAACAGAACCATAACACCGGTCTTGCAAAACGTAGACACAGCTAGCATAATGAACAAATCTGGGCCCTTGATGAGGAGCTTAGATCCCTGTTTTACAAGTTTATGAGCCTCCTCATTGCCCTGTACTCCCCGATGACCAGGTATCCATGCAATGAAAAGTGTGTGTGTTACCAGTAGTTGAATGTGTGTCATATTTAACTGCCACATATTATGAAAGAGGGACATCCAGGTCCATTTCGCTGCAAGAGTTGTAATGTCGTGAGCACTGCAGATGAAAATTAAACCAATGGCAAGTGATGAATGTCATGTACGTAAGAAAAGAACAAGGTGATGGTGTAAATTTCTCGACAGTAAAGAATGACACCATTGTTAATTGTTAGCAATGTATATATATGTGTGTGTGTGTGTGTGTGTGTGCATATATATATATACATATATAAATATGAGTCATGCATACGTAAATGTGAATTGTGAATACAGTCTTGCACAACACTGGCGAGCATATTTAACTTTTATTATGTTTGAAAATAGATCTACTGTACTACATTGTGGTTAATGACTTCAGTTGTTCTTTATGCAATATAATCCCCTTGCACTTAACATCAGGAGACACACTGAACGTAAAATTTAGTTACAGACTAAACCTTGTGTTTTTGTTGAGAGAAAAAAAATAATCTTAAATGTGGAATTCAGCTTTTTGACAGCAAAAAAAAAGTGATACCAAACAGAGTTTACAGCATGAGACTACTAGTGACCATATTTATTATCACCCACATACATACGCAACCTTTCCACATCTTGTTTTATAGTCTGAACAGGATTACAGATTACATGGCATTGGGTAAAATTAACAATATCGATCATATAGTTTTGTGGTTTGTGAGGTAAAAAAAAAAAACCAAAAACATGTCATAACAACATCACCAAATTGATAAAAAAGAAAATGAAGAGGATATTGGTGACTTACATGAACATTTTCAATACTGATGTAAATTTGTTGGAGGGTCCTATACCAGTAATGCAGAAATTAAAAAGACAAAATTTGAATTGTCTTGTGACCACCACTGTATTATTCCTATAATTCAGGATAACGATTAAACCGGGTGGGTGACCTTCCCATCAAGATAATGTTTATGAATGTTCTTGCATCAAGTAACACAGTTGAACCTCTGAGTACAAACAATATACAGTATTTCGGGACGCTGGCCAATCTCCACATTTTTCAGATTTGGAACCTTCCCGCCCCAAAACGAAATCATGAAAATATAAATATTCTACTCCTGGTTTAAACCGTTCAGGCAATTTTGAAAGTAACATTCTAAGATTCTTATATAGGTGTAAAAATATGTTATAATAATTAAAAGTAATAACAATACAGTATAACTCTCTTCAATTAACGACAAAGGTGCCCACCCACCGATCAAATGTAAAATTGCACAACCAATTCAATACATTGTAAGTTGACTATTTCCAACGTGTCTACAGGTAAACCCTTCAACAGTCAGTTTGGCCCGTCTGTGACGTCACAGGGCAACGTGCATGCACCACAGATTGATACATGTAAATTAGAGTGGAAATACAACCAGTGTTTAATTTAAACATTAAAGAGCGCTTGTGTTGCTTTGCTTCTAAAGAAAAATTCAAATTAGGAACTCAAAACGGCTTCGGCCCTGGTCGTCAAGGGAACGAAAAGCCAAACTACCACAATACAGTCGAGCAGTGGCTCATTTTCATGAGACAGCATGCCCAAAACTAGCCGCTTTCAAGAGATCTGTAAAAATAGCTTGAACTGTGTACTGCAATTCTTGATAAACCAAGCATTATGTTAATTTTTTTTTTTTGGGGGGTGGCAAATGATGTTTTGGCTAAATTGATGAACTATGAATTGTTTGACCTCAGGGGTGCTTTAGACTAAAGTGTAGAAAGAATTCAATCCAGGTGCAATGTTATTGACCATCCTCTGTTTAAGAACCCCTGCTGTAATAAAACAATAGAATATGTGAGAAATTGTTTTTAAAGGAGAAATAAGCCATGATTATGATGCTAGCTGACTGATGAGAAATGTCAAAATCTGTGCTTTTCTTTGTAATTGACAGACTGTGTTGTGGAAGTTCGAACCCATCCAGTGTCTCTTTCATCAGGACTTCTGCTTTTAGTTCCTGACAGAGGTTTTGCTCCAGAAAAGAAGGTCAAACATATCAGAAGACAATGTCACACTCTTAAGTCTATTCTGTTTAGCTCATCCAATTTGCCCCAGTGGGTCACAATTATCTAACATATCCTCACGGTTGCTATTTCTCAAACGTAGACAGTAAAGTGCTGGTAATTTTATGAGACAATAAGTCATGCATTTATGAGTGGTTCTTGTGTCTGGTGCTTTGGCCGTTGTGAAATGGCCGCTTCAGTATCAAAAATGCCTGCTGCTACTCTGCCCCTCTCTGGCAGGAGACACAATGCAAATCCATTTCAAAGAAAAATGTTGACTTGTTCAGTGGCTGTGTTCTATTGATTTGTTCTTGGGTTACTTTCTCTGTCTGTGTATGGTTAGCACTCACAACCTTTTTGTGTTTTGTCGGGTAAAAAGCTGATACACATGAAATGTCAACTTTGTAATCTTGTGTCAAACAGTGAGAAGAGTTGGCCATATCAGTCATGTAAGATGACCTTTTAGGTGATAGCATCTCTGCATTAATGGACATACACGCAGTGAAATCACTCAAAGTCTGCACACCCATCACTCAGCAAACAAACTTATTCGTCCCCCTTCATAAGACTGCTGTCAGGTTTCTGACTTTGGGGTTGCCGGCTGGATGTTCTGGACTTTGGAAAGTGTAACTGGCACCTTTCCCTCCCCTGGGGTTGGTGCTCTCATTATGGGGGTACCTGTCACAAAAGCATAGTTAGGCTGAATGTGTTCGGCGAAACCACATTTTAAACAGTGGTGTGTCTCTTGATGGAGGATTAACCCTTACCGACTGTTGAATGCAAATCAGCCAACCGCTCCTTAAACTTTTGCTGCAGAAATAATTCCTCTTTGGAGTAGCTTTTGGCAAAGGCAGACAGCAGGAGACCCACAGCCATTGAGGTGCCTCCCACACAGAACAGAACAGCCCCAGTCAGCTTGCAAATATCCAGCGCACGGTTGAAACTGACTGCCTGGCTGTTGAAGAACAAGACATGTTGAGATTTCGTCCGAAAATCCTGAGTCCAAGCTGCCAACATGCCTCCTGGCATTCAAAACCTTAGCATATCTCATTGATTAAGTACATCACTATTTTCTACATATTTTGCTGCAGAAGGTCCACATAGTTCAGCGATAAGATTCATGCTGCTTTCAAGATACAAACAATACTGCACACACCTATTGCTGCATATTAACACTCTATTCAATTTTATGTAGGATCCAGTATAACGCAAATGCCACAAAACGTTTGAGCATTTGTTACCCAAGGCTTGGTATACCTGTCCACAAACAGAAGATCCTCTTCACCAAATGCCTCAATCCTAGCTGGAGTAGCATACCCCACGACAATGACAATCAGGCCCGTAAACAAGATCAAGGTGCCAAACGCGAGACAGACCTGAGATTGGAAAAAAATACAAGATAAAATATTGACATGTCATGTTTGGTTGAAATGTAACAGCAGTAAGGTTTAGGCTTGAGCAAAGTGATGGTTAAATCTCACCTTCCAGAGTAAAGAGCTCCACCTGCTAGGCGATCTCTGAATCTGAAAATCTTCATCACGTTCCCAGATGGAGGCTGTGCACTCCTCATAAAACTGGATGGCAGAGACATTTATATTAATCTCTAACCCTAAGTGCCCTTTGTTCATCTCTCACACTTTCTCTTGAGGAAAGATGTGTGTCTTTCTTCTACCTGGTGTAAATAGGAGCGGACGCCATACCGCTGGCAATTCCCGCTGACTTGGGCTTGCTCGCCATATTCCGACCCACAGATCTCAGAGCAAGACGCCATCCTTCACATCTGTCTGCCTGCTTGAACAAACAGAGAGTAATGCATGAATGAATCCACCTACGCAATTTTGCACCACCTGCATAATCCACATTCTCATATGAATGCATTTATGCATTCATAAACACACTTAGCCCACACACTCACATCAAGTTATATAACATGCTGAAGCTATGTATGCAAATGTGTGTGAATGAGTGAATATCAATGGGGCAGTCTCATTTATAGATGAAAGAGCCTTGCATTACTACAAACCTTTGCAGTACTGTATTCTCTAAACCTAAACAAAAGTATGCTGTCATGTGCTCCATGTTCAGGGGTGCACATGAGTGATGCGCTGGTGCGCATGAGCACTGCAAATTGAATGATGCGCTCCACTTCAAGTCTGTCACCGTGCTTCTGTGCACGAGAAAAATAGAGCTCAGTCTGTCAATTTAACAGCGCTCAGGCTATGCAGCCTCAATTCGGGGTCACAGCTGCCACAACGATTGCTTGTGAGGGCCAACTTCAAAATAAAAGCGAAATAAGGCATTGATATCCATGTACTGTCATACTCGTGATTTTATTTAGACTTTGACCCTCGAGGCGCATTGCTTAGCGTGCAAACAACCGCTGTTGTTACGACTGGCTTGACAAGGCTAACTCCAGTGATAATGACGATACATTCACTGTAAACGGTTGCCACCCGGGTCGTAGGAGACCCACAGTGAAACGGACCATAAATATGCTGTAGACATCAAACCAAGTTTCACGTTCCTCTATGTTGCTCGTGTTTCTGTCCTATAAGATCGAATTGAGCAAAACAATGAACTATTTCTTCCTATTATGACTTAGTTCCCTCCACTGCCATCCAGCGTTGACTGTGAGCTGTCCTTGGTGCTGAGCGCCATCACCCCAGCATGAAAACACACATGCGTCACGTGTGACGTTCAGCCGAGAACAGACCTCGAGCATGCGTCCTCCCCACCCCCATGAGACATATATCGAGCACACTATACACTTCAATTTAATTTAGAACGATCGTAGTGACGACATTCGGTTGACTGATTTCCCAGCATGAGTAAACTGCTCGACGTTCTACCGAGCTGGATATATCCAAATATGTGTACATTAACTTCTATTTCATTTGATATCATCATGCGCGTGTTACTGCGGTTTTTAAATCAATCGATGTAGTGACAGGGCACAACTTTAAAACGGACCTTTCCGTGGACAGATGCATGCACTCGTTTTCATATGAGCACACGTGCGTTGACTACGTCGTTAACAAGAGTACAGTGAAATGGTCAAATAAACACGGAAGTCGCTTCGAAAATAATATTTCAAACAGTGAAACCGCAAATTACCTGTCATTAGCAGCTTGGAGAGCGATGACTCGCTGCTGCTTGCTCAGCCCGCTCCCATCACTCTAAAGTCTCTCTCTCTCTCTCTCTCTCTCGCTCTCTCTCTCTCTCTCTCTCTCTCTCTCTCTCTCTCTCTCTCTCTCTCTCTCTCTCTCTCTCTCTCTCTCTCTCTCTCTCTCCCCCCCCCCTCACTCTCTCTCTCTCTCTCTCTCTCTCTCTCTCTCTCTCTCTCTCTCTCTCTCTCTCTCTCTCTCTCTCTCTCACTCTGTCTCTCTCACTCTGTCTCTCTCGCTCTCTCCCCCCTCCCTCCGTTGATGAATCAGTCTCTCTTTACTGCGCATGTGCCAGCCCCATGACAACATCGTGATTCAGAGCCGTATATAGTAACCAGGCAATGGCTGGATGGGACTGATACTCGTTCAAAATTCAACAAAACGGGGTGCATAAATAAGGTGGATAGATAGACAGATAGATAGATAGATAGATAGATAGATAGATAGATAGATAGATAGATAGATAGATACTTCCCTTCTATATGTGTGAGCTCACTTCCCTTCGAAATGTGTGTGTGTCAATGCATTTTCCTCCCCCAGCACATTCATTCATTTGTTTGTTCATTAATTCAACATCATTGATTATTGCCTTTCCACCCCCACAACTTCCCAAGAAGGTCCCCATGACTACAAGCACTTCTTTGACAAAAAGAAAGCAGTTTTACTTTCCCAATAGAAGACGTCTGCTGCAATTAGATGAATGTATTGTAATCTCTTTTTCAAATAATTTCCCCTCTTGTGTTCATCTCCATGTATTGTGTGACATATAACTGTCATTATAACAAACATCAATTATATTTTCGCTGGCATAGATAGTTTTCACAGCCACATTGAAAACACTTAACATTAAGTTAAAAATTAAATGATATGTTATTGCATTGTTTCTCCACTTTCATTTTTAAGATATGAAACAACTTTGAAGATCACATCAAGGTAACCTAAGTAAACATAAAATACAGTTTTTAAGTGGAGATATTATTCATGAAGAAGAAAATATATGTATTATATATTGCCTCCAAAAATTACCCCAAGAGCACAGCGATGACTCATGTAGGAGGTCACAAAGGAACCCAGGAGAACAGCCAAAGAACTATAGGCCTCCATTGCCTCAGTTAATGTCAGTGCTTATGACTGAACAATAATGAAAATCAATTTTGGGGTTATTAGCAAGCGCCGGGACACAGCTGCAAAATACAGTATACAGCTACAGTACACTACACAGATTGTGTTTTACAACATTTCTTAAGCATATTCGTTCAAGTAGTTTCATATGTAGCTCCTCTCACTCCCCTGAAATTTAGTGCAGGAGAGGCGCACTGACATGGCAGAAGCACAAACGGACTCGCTGAATATTGACGTGCACAACGTTATGTTTATAAGGAACTGGAAGAAAATATCCACTTGCAGATGATGTAAAGTTGGCTGCTGTGAAGTGGGCATGTGGAGAAGGCCTTCCACCCCCCGAGTATGCACCTGTGTGTTATTAAAATAATAAAGATGACACCAATGAATGAAATTGAGATGACATATATCATACTCAGAATTTTTCTTTCTACAATCTAAATCTTGATCAAATCTACCGAAATTGCCCTACATCACTTGCACCACAATTTAGACCTGCTTTTAGCTGGTCTCAAGATTATTCTACTGTCTGTCACATAATTGTCAAGTGCGCTGAGGGCTTGTTTAAGAAAAAAAACACCCTCGGTCATCTGTAATGAATCAGAATCAGGATCAGAATTGCCTTTATTGTCATTGTATTACATACAACGACATTTGGGTGCCACTCCTTCGTGCATTTAGTAAGAAAATAAAATAACGGGTTAATAAATACAAAACTCAACAACAACACACAACAACATGCCTAGCATGGCGCAACGTGGTCTACCAAATTCCCCAAAATGCAAAAGGAGGCTTGCACCTGCACAAAACTCGAGGTGCACCAGTTTTTACACCCCAGCACTAAATCTAGGAAAATAGAGCCCTTAGTCGTGTCGTTGACAATATCCATTTAATTCCGCAGATTTGGATAATTAGACTCTTTGGTTACAAGTGAACTGCAACAGCCTCCTTTCAGATTTATAGTCCAGCCACTATATTTTTATTTATTCAATTGGTAGGCTGTTGCTGAAGTTATCACATGTGGATCATAGTGCATTTTTCACCCTATGGAACACTTTATTCGCAGAGGCCAGGCCTGTTAACAATTAATATCCTGTTTCTGTTGTTTTATAACTTGGCAGAACTACAGTCAATGCCACTGCTACCGCAATAACAGAACAGATCTGCTCAGACAGATGGCTTGTTAGATGATTCTTCCGTTTAAGTCAGGTTGCCAAGGGATGACTCATGTGGGGATCTGTGTATCTGTGGAGCAAGGTCCCCGAACCTGTTGTTGTCTTTTTTTGCTTTGACTACCAGAAACTACTGACATGATGCTCATTCAGTAATGCTGTAGTCTCAGAATAAGATTTACGTTGTAATCAATGGGTTTGCTTTCACATCTTGGCCTTTATATCCAACTCCAATGAGGATGACTTCAGAAAGCGGAAGAAAATTTGAGGTGTAATAAATTGTAGATGTATTCATTTATCACTTTTGCTAGTGCAAACTTTGAGATCCAGTGTCTGCCTTAAAAAAAGACGGTGGTGAGTTTGAAATCATGCTTTCTACATGTTTATTCTTTATCTTTGTCATACCAAAAATCTAGACTTTTTATGTTGAATCTGCTTGTACCAGGGGCAGGGGGCATTGTCACCCAACAGTCCAGTGACTACTTATCACAGATTAAAAAAGCCCACTGACTGCTTACAATTCTGAAGACACCGGTAATGCTAATTTGTGGACATACCTTGGTTGAACACGTCCCTAAGGTTCAATTATTTTCAATTTCTCGGAGTACCATCATTTTTTTGTACATGTTTCGTAAGTTGATTTGAATAATATTAATAATTCCGAACCACAATTTAAAATCATTTTCTTAACACACACTGTTGAAATAAATAAATAAATAATAATTCCATTGTAGGTTTGGGGCTGGAACGGATTAATTGCATTTTAGTTCATCTCAATGAGAGAAATTACTTCGGTTTATAGACATTGTGGGTTAGAAACGTGCCTGGGGTTCTATTGTATTTACAAGACAGTAAGAACACTCTTCCCTCCTCTCTGTCTGCTCACCTGGTTGCCTGTCTGCCCCCCATCTGTCTTTCTTTCTGTCTGTCTGTCTGTCTGTCTGTCTGTCTGTCTGTCTGTCTCTCGTTCCGTCTGCCTGCCTATCTCTCTCTTCCTTCTCTGTTTACAGTACATGCTGAGCGTCTCAGTGTAGAGCGAGGCAGTTTCTATGGTGATATGAAAAGGTCACCTTCAGGGAGGTCTCAGTGAGCGTGTGCAGAATACCAGTCGAATAATCAGGCTTCCTGTAATGACTGATAACAGATCACAACTCATTACGGGGAGCGAGACAAAAAAGATATGGCTCATAGCTTTCAAAGGGATTATTTGTGTCTGAGCAAAGAGACAATTTCCACCAAAGGTATCCCTGCGCGTCTATCTTTTGTATGTTGTTAGCTTATGTTTGTGGTTCACAATCTGTATAGATCATGATAAAAGAACAGAATATTATAGGATGTAAAATGCTGATCAATGTTAGCTATGACGTTATTCCCAAAATTGGCAAAACAAAAACATAAAATCAAAGGAACGCTGTTTAGTGTTTACAACAGTGCACGTTTTTAATCTATGCAAATTGGCCTATTTCTCATTAACTAGTAAAAAGATGCACTGGGTATCAGAAAATAATTGTTTTCCCAACAACTGTTTCCATTCTGATTTATCATTGCAAATACGTTTCGATTAAAAAAAACAAGAACAAAAAAATCATTGTTTCACTTATGGCTGACAGGAAAACATTAGCCTTGTCTTTAATATATAATTTGAAGTTCATAGTTTTGTGAGTTATTGTTGAAACACAAATTGGAATAGAGTACACGGCGAGCATTACAGAGCAGAAGCTTCATTGATAACAATGCTGACATCTACTGGACAACATGTCCTACTCTGTAATGAGACACTGTCCGGATCAGTGTTTATATGTAGTGTGTGTGTGTGTGTGTGTGTGTGTGTGTGTGTGTGTGTGTGTAAAGGGAACACTTAAACAGCGCAATGCAACTCCAAGTCTTCCCTTTATTTATATAAATTTCTATTTTTGCCGTTTTAAATATATATACATCGACCAGTAGCGCACGAACTTTTCCCAAGTGGATCGCAAGAGGTCTAGGGGGAAATGCATGACAAAAAAAATATCTGTGTCTGTGTGCGTGTTGTCAATATTCTGTATTTTGTATTAGTGCACACTGCACCCTCCGCAAACTCTCAGTTTCACTCTTTGCGATTGGTCGCAGCAGGAAATAACATCAGGACGAAGGGTGAGGAGGGGCAGTACAGTATATATATATATATATATATATATATATATATATATATAACAAAGCAGGTCACCTTTAACCGACGGCGCCGCGTGACCTGTATCACCGGAAGTTGTTAGCGATCAGCAGTCTGCAATTGCAGATTGCGATTAGACCTGTTGCCGTGTAGCTTTTTTATTTTTATTACTCTCATTAAAAGTTTGTTTCATGTAGAATTCACCGATGGCACTGACAAAGAATGGGAAGCTGAAGTGCCAGGAGAAAATTTTTAAAACGATATACGTGAGCTACGATAGTGTCATTGTTGCACTGCAGAAGCTGCTAAAGTGCGTCCCATGCCGCCGCATCAGGTCTCGACAAAGGTAGGCACTGATTCCTTTTTACAAACTCACGAGCTTTTGTATCGACTCTATTTTAATGTTTCCTTAATGTTCCGGGCGTTATGGCTGTTGCTCATCCTGGCATGCGGTGTGTATACGTGCATGTGCGGTAGCGGGTCGATCGCAGGAGGTCGGTTGCCTGAAAAAGTCTTTCGTCGACCTTCGGTCAAAAAAAGTTTGGCACCCCGGATATAGACAGATAGATTATTATTTGAAATACATATGATTCTGCGCG